GCACTACAAAAATTTTCAATTGCATTAATGAGCAAGTTAGAAATTTTGAACCTCGACGACAACGTTTTAGTGTCTCACTAACCTTTCATGTCCATTCTGTATTTACAATACAAAGAGGTGTTATGGTGAGGTTTACTTAATACTTCCAGTTGGTTGACATAATCCTGAGCTTCAAATGAAACAAGTTAATAAAAGTAGAGAGTACTATAAAACAAGTCTAGCAAAAACAAGGTACAAAGTAGGTGTGGTAATAATCTGAGGAAAAAGGGACAAGCAACAGAATCGGCGATCTGAAGTTCCAGTACATCTTTCCTGACTAGATCTCGATTTATTACTTGCTTACGCAAGGATGGTGATGCATATTGGTATAACGAAAACGTCATTATTCAACTTTTACGTCATTCTCGAGTAAAGTTGTAATTTCAAATGCGGGGTAATCAAATGTTGATTTATTCATTCTTTTCTTTTTATTTTAGCAAAGTTTGACTTGACGAATGAACTCCGTCGACATTAAAATTATCTTTATTTGACTACGTTTCCAATAGTATAATAATAGACAATCGATAAGGGCATATAATTGTGTGACTATTTTGTGATTTAATCCAAAGCTGATGTATTACCTACCGTATTACCCACCTGGGGTTGAACTACTTGAAAGAGAAGACAGGGAAGGTTTACTTACTCACGAATTAATTTAAATACCAGTTTTTATTTTCAGCTATGTCTACCGGCCCTGAACAAGATGACAATTTTCCGATTTGTGGCATTAACTGGTGAAGTACCTATACAGCAAAATAGTGGAATAGGTAATTATTTGATAAATGTCCAATCAAGAATGTCAATTAAGTCACTTTCCCACAAAATTGCCATATTATGAATTTTAATTGCAATAGCAAAACTTAATCTTGCCCAGAAACACAGCAAATCCATTGGCTGAAAGCCAATCATGCGACAACTTCAATTACAAAACCGCAGAATCTAGTTTTTCAAAGGATTCCACCGACCAATTAGGCCAAAACAATTATTAATGATGGGCAGCATCTTGTTGCTAAAAGAAAAAAAAAGATTGATATAATCAAGTGACTCACCACTGTTACAACTTTTTCGCCTTTCCAAGTCGAAAAACAATAACGACCTCAAAACGAATCGAATTGTTACAAAATTCAGCCTTATTCTTATCTTGCGAACAATAACTTTTTCCGGCCACCGGTTCGCACTTTCACTAATTTTTTTATTGAAATAATAAAAATCGTTTACATGCGCTGTGCCCGGTCATTGCACTATTCGTTGCCAACAAGCCGAATGTTTGAACTCGGGGGTTGAATTTTGGAATTAGCACCAAAGTGCTCTATTTATCGCACCTACTGCCTTTTCAGTTTCGCGTAAATTTACATGTCGGTTTAAAATTAGCCGCATGTCAAACAAACAAAATAAAGCGGAATGGTAAATTTGGAGGGCAGCTTGCAATTGTCGAGCGACGAAAAGATAAGAACGAGGGTGGAATTGTTTTCTGTATCAATTTCTGGCGCAGGTCCGGATTCTTTTTGGGATACGCGCAAGCCTCAATCGATTTTCGCAGGATGAATTAGGGATTTGTTGCTTTAGCTAAAATGTGTAGTAATGCGTTATCGGCAATCATTTCAATTGCGACAATGATGGAGTTAAGTGCGTTTTATAGCAATCATTCTTTAACTACATTCGTTCCATGCTCTTATGATTTTATTGTGCATCTACGCCCTGCAACATCCGTCAAAGTTTTTTACATTTACCAATGACTAGATCTTAGTGGACGAACATAATAAATGGTATCCATTACAAAGGATACTTTAAAAAATTTTGAGATGCTTTTTGGCTATACATATATTGTAAGGAACCTAGAGTGAAATTGTGAAGATTTGGGACATTTATATCCGTAGATTATCTATGCAAATGAAATGAACCCTTAGCTTTCTTGGTGCTTGACGTTTATAGCCCTCGTTGCAATTTATTTTTTTTCAAATTACGTATGAGTTTTATTGAAGTAAAGGGTTGATGAGGATTTTTCTTCTCCGCTAACTTTATTGCTTGTGATATTCGGGTTTTGCAGAATCTCACTTGAGGATGTATATGACCTTAAATCTTTTCTTAAGATTGAATTTTTTTATGCACACTTCATTACAATACTGACGCAATACGTTTTCATATACAGGCTGAATGCTCGAAAATTTAGCATAAAAAATATAGGCACTCTTAAACCGTCGCAAAAAAGTAAAAAAACTCTTTTCGTTGTCTCCAGTATTTAAGGGAACGCTACCTCCACCATAAAACAAAGTCCTTCTTCATGAACTTTCAGATAAATCACCAATCGCAATTCGATTAGATAAACGCCAGCAACGATGGAACGCGCCAAACGTCCCCACTTCTCCACATGAAACGTGCAGTTCTTGGCGTTTCCTGCATTCCCCTATCAGCCAAAGAACACGTGCGTTAATTAAATTTCGCCTGACAATAAAACTCGTTATCGCAACGACCAAGTAAAACCTTTTACACGCAAATTACTGCAAAGCGACAAAATTCAAATAAGAATCAGGCTTAGATTTCTAAAAGGAAAAACAAACACTGAGATACAAATTTAAATAAAATAGACCACCTTTGTGTTTATTCGTAAATAGTCCACCACATGTGTAGTTAAAAATTGAAATCGTACCACATTCAGAGTGTCCCATTATTACTGCTGGATCAAAATAACGTCTGCATGAGGTAGTTTACACAACCATATATTTAAAAAAATCAAATTCTTCATTTGCAGCCCTTTGTCACATTCATATTAAAATGTTAGTTGCGCACAATCAACCATTTCAACCGCATTACAAATTCAAGTCACTTTAAGTTTAATTTCGCGATTAACGATATGCGTAACAATATTCCCTGTCTCGCAATTAAACTTTATTAATTCCATCCAATTTTAATCTTTGTGGGTTAAAATGTCCACTATTGTTCGTAATTAACGTAATAGTTTCTAGGCCGTACCTAAATTATCCTTTGTGAATAAGAAGCACTAAACTTCAATTCATGCGTTTGTCTATATTCGCGGCAATATTTCGTCTCGGGCTATCCCTTAATTCGTCAAAAGAATTTGATTCACCACGATTTTGATTTTACAGATATTTAACTTCATTAACATATCAGCACGGTCTCTCCAAAAAATGGATTAACACCATAATCTGCAAGTGTCGCCTCGACGATAAAACCGCGATGAGCTAATTAACAGATACTTGACCCAATTTCGCTCATGGTTCAACGCGCAATGCCTCACGGTAATCTCCGAACTTGGCATGGATAGGTATCTCCGTATTTGCTTTTCGTTTTAAAATTGTTTGTATTTGTGTAATTCTTGTTTAAATTTTATCGTTTTTGTAATGTGTTCAATGTAGATAAGATGTTAGAAGTCGTTTGCGATAAAAAAAATTTATATCAGTCGAAAATTAAATAAGGCACGTGTTTTATTGCAGTTAACTCATAAAATGTTACGAAAAATAGCACGTTTCAGCTGGTAATCTTGTACGATCAGATTATTTCGATTATTAAGAAAAAAACTAATTTTAAGATGTCTTATTTTATTTGTTGACCGCCTGCGTGCGAGGTAATATGTCCACACAAGCTTTTCTTTCTTGTAGAGATTTTGTTTTAATTTTTTTTCAACGTGTTTCGGAATAAATTTGTGTAATTGGCAAATCATTAATGGTGTGTTTGTTCGAACCCAATGTGCGACCCAGCTAGTTTTCGTGTCAGATATTTTTCTTTTCGTGTTCAAGATTTATTTCAGGTGTGAATCAAAAGTTGTGTAATACACTCGGAAGTTGATCAAGCCACCGAGTTTCTCAAATTGAGAAATTTTAGGTAAATATTGGGATTTTTATTGTATCAGATCCCGGATGTGTACGAAGGGAGGTTATAAAATTCTTCCAATTTTGATTGTTTTGAGCGAGCTGAGCAGGTGTTTTGTGGGTGGCGTAGTGGCGACCTTTATGTACTGCAACGTAGAAGACATGCCAGAGCATACCTATTGGAATGTCATTATTCATTAAGCACATTAAGAGTTACCTGGAAAAATATTATGATGAGTGAACACGGAAAATAGAGGAGCGTCTTCAAATATTGTTGTGTGTCTCATGTTAGGCGCCAAATAAGAAATTCTATGTGCAATGGCAAATGGTGACTAAACTGCTCACAAAACACTTGTCCAGCTAGCTCAAGTAAATACCACACTTTTATAATTGTAACCATTTTGGTTAAATTTTCCGAGGCATGGACCTTTACTTGAATCTTGATTTTAACGAACTGCCTTTCTTGACATTCCAATTGCTTTTCATTGGTGAACAATGGGCATCTTCACTTTCACAGAATATATACGACAAAACACCACGGCAAAAAGCCTCATTTACACGTCTTCCTAAGCTATTAAAACATTCTTCCCCTCTACGAACTGCTAATCCTCCTTCCTTAACAAAATAATGCGCGTCGTTGCAAAATCAAACTGCACCTGTGTTTTCTAATCGGCAATAACACGTCCTTATTTTAAACCTTAATTAGAGTACGCAGCGATAACAGTTCTTATCGCAGACCGGAGATAAACTTTTGCAATAACTACGCAAGGTGTTCCTTATCTTTCGTCCACAAAAAACTAACAAAAAATTAAACAAAGCAATTATTTAAACAAAATTAACAACAAATAATTCTGATACAAGACAAAATCGACTTCGAAATCAAATGATATGGTCGGCATTGCGTTCAGTCTTCAATCCCAACCCATGCCCACGTCTGATTCTTCGTGTCCGAAATGCCTCCGTCGACGTAGGTTGTAGGTATATGTGTGTAGCTTAATTTTCTCGGTACATACACAGTGCATTACAAGATATCAAAGTCAAATTTGCAAAAAGTTAAACCGAATCCTAGTATTGTAATAAAAAAGACCATTTGCAACAATCAGCAATAATTAAAAAATGATTTTTTGATGAGGTTTGACTAATGTCAAAATGACAAAAAACACAATAAAAGTCTTTGCTCGGTTGAAGCAAGAAAATCTAAACGAATTGCCCGCAGTAAGGCATCGACACTTATTCTTTGCAATCTAAATAACTAGGTGTTTCTCTAGTACGAAATACGTCGGACGTCTACAAAAGAAGTGATCACTTTCCACAAACTCAACGTTAATGGCGTCTTCAATACCAAGCCAAGTTCATACTCTTTTAGGTAAAATTATAGGCATAGTCGTAAACTAAACCCTTTTCGTACAGATTTGAAAAAATATTCGATGGCAGAACTTCACAGGAAGGTCTTTTCAACACTCTCGCAAAACCAATCATTCAAAGGTAAGAACTGAATGCAATATCCAGATTTCAATCTCAATCTGCAGCTCACTCGAAGGATACAATGGAACAATCCTTGCCTACGGACAGGTTTGTTTCCACTGCTTATTTATTTTACGCTTGTTTTTTTCACGGACTATAGACCGGAAGTGGGAAGACCTATACAATGACAGGCTCTTCAGAGTACTTTGAAGAAAGAGGCATTATCCCTCGTAGCATTGAAGAAATTTTTAAACATACAAAACAGGCAAGAGTGTCTTAATTGGTCAACATCCCTATGAATTTTTCGGTTCTAGAACATAAGCGTTTACACCATTTATATATCGTATTTAGAGATTTACAATGAAATTGGATATGACTTATTGGATTCAAGACGGCAGATTTCTTCAGTGGAAGATATTGAGTGAGTAAATGTCGATTTCATAAATATTCAGCGCAGTTTGATAGGCAACTCAACTAACATTATTTCCCTAATTGAAATTTGACAATTCTTAACCCCCATAAAAATTGGACGAATAACTTTTCTTGTGTTAAAAAAGCTTCAGTGAACATCAACCAAACGCCTAGAAGTCATCAGGAAATCGTTTAGTGATTTATTACTGTTGATACGATGTGAGTACCAATGGTTCACACGTCTAGTAAGAAATGTGCCTCTGCTTATAACTTTACGGTCAAATTGACGGAATGGAACCTAAAGTGCAATTTTTTCCGCTATCTAAACGTTAAAAATTTGACCCCCCTCCCCCCATCGCTCGACTTGATTGACAAGTACTGTACGGCCCTGAGTAAAATCCCGAATCATCTCCTCCTCGTGGCTCTCTCGTGCCGTGAGTTATTCCTTTTTTTTGGAAAAGGTCGACACCTGTCAAAATTGCAAAATCATATGTCCGAGCAATCCCTGCAATAATACCTCCGGAATGCCTCTCATGAGCATTTTTTCACTCTCTCTAGCGTATCGCTGACAAATATAACCGTACACCAGAGCTGAGGGTGCAGAGGTACCCGCCCGTTCCAAGTGATTCGTCACCAGATGTTTGATCAAGTAAAGCCCTCTATGGTTCCCTGAACTAACGTATCCTTAGCTTTAACAACTTCCGAAAATGTATCCTCCCTTCCCGCGTTTTTTATTCACCACTCCTCCTCCAGTCCACAGCACTCTTGATAGCCTATTGCAGTCTGGATCAACTAAAAATGTGAGCGCATACAATAATAATCACAATGAAAACTCACATTTATTTTAAATTAACTAAGTACCGGATTCTTAATTGGTTTTGGGATTACACTTTTTCTCAAATTATGGTTATTTGTCGAGAGCACTTCTTAAAAGCCGCAGATATAAGGGTATTATTGTAGGTAATTATTCTTTGAAGTACAATCAATTATCCACGAATTTGTATCAAAGTAGACTGTAAAAATGTTCCGCTAAATTATGAGCGACCTTAAAAAACATTCAAAATTTGTTGCAAGCGACCCCAGCTAATATCAGAGGTAGGATGTGGAATATTTTTACTGTCAGTTGCTCTATAAAGACCTGTCTTACCAAAGAAAAAGTAGTTTCCACTATGCCAACACTGGTCCAGTTTAAATCAACGTGTCTCATTCTTTTTCCACTTTGCCATGCAGCAGTATTCGTTAAATTTGTAAATGTTCTAAACCATAGTTTTTAATAAACGTAATTTTGCGCAGCGAATTAGCGGAAAAAGGTTCACTTTCGACCCACAACTTAACACACCAAAAGGTATCGAGCGAAGAAGAAGCCATGATGTTACTCTTAGTTGGAGATTCGAACAGGTATTAACCTACAAGAAGTTCAGTTCAGCATATTCACCATTACTCCTTCGTCGTTTTCCAGAATAACCGTAGAGACTGGAAGAAATTTGTTTTCTTCTCGATCACATTGCATATTCACCATTACTATCTCCTCTAGAAACGCCATTAACGGTAAAATACGAAGATCCAAGCTGAATCTAATCGACTTGGCTGGGTAAGCGAAATAATTAGGTCACACTTTGACAAAGGCTTGTAGTTCGGAGAGGGTTAGCAAATCGAACTTGTCTGGAGCAACTTTAAGGGAAGCAAAACACATAAACCTGTCTCTGCATTATTTACAGCACGTAATTTTTGCGCTTAATAAGAGAAGAAGATATGTGCCGTTTAGAAACAGTACGCTAACCTACCTTCTCAAAGACTCCCTGTCTGGACAATCAGTTACAGTTCTACTTGCAAATTTGGATGTGAAAACAGCTAATTTTGAGGTTGACTGTTACTTTTGAGTATCTACCAACGTGGTAATTTCAGGAGAGCATAGCGACGTGTAAATTCTCGCAGAAAGTTGGCAACGTCATCATTGAAACTAAACTTAATAAAGAAATCGAGCCACAAGAAGATATTACTCGGATGAAGCAATTAATAGCTCAATTGCAAGTGGAGCTTTCGAGCACTTCTAGATTTAGGGTATCATTCTGAGTGGGGCGCAAAAGGTTTCAACAAATTTTTAGCAAAATGGGGCGCTTAGCAAGGAAGAAAGAGAGAAATATAAAATTCTCATTAACAACTATCTGTTGAATCCTAAGGAAGAGCTCACTTTGGACTGCATGGACATGCGCGCCATCCGATACTGTTTCAAGCTCCTCAAACAAGTGGCGAAAGAGTACGAAGCAGATAAACTGAACTTAGAAACCAAGGATAAAGAGAATCGAGATGCTCTCAGGCAATACTCGCAGATTGTCGAGGAGCAGGAGAAAGAAATTAGTATCCTTTCAGTTCATGTTTGTTCTAAGTATTTAACCTTACTTTCCCTAAGCACGTCTCAAATCCACAGGATCCACTTCCTTGGCAACGCATACCACAACGTGGCCTTCCCGGTTCGAAGAAAATAGTACATCCGAGAAGAGCACCAACGAACTGGAGTTTTACAACGAATCCATTGAGAAAGTGTACAGGGAAGCTGCAAGTTTGGTCGCAGTAATCGAACAATGTCAGAGAAATATTTTGAACGCCAAAAGCAACTGCGAAAAACTCTCGGAGGAACGTGTCTTATACAGAAGATCACTCTCCAAATTGCAACAGTTAAAAAATAAGTCTGACACTCTCAAAATTGGCTTAAAAAGGGAGACGGAAAAGGTTATCAATGGTTTTGACAGGTGGCACGAGCATATTGAGTGGAACCATTTTCTGGTGGAAACTCAAACATCAATCCTTAGCAGTGGGAGGTCATCCAGTCAAAATACTTCTGTAGAGGGGTCGAACAAGGAAAACTGTACGTCTATGGATGCCACTAACTTCCCGAAACACAAGTGCAGAGAGGTTTTCAAAGTCAAAGACATTAACGTGCTGCCTATGGGCCCAGCGGCAGCAGAAATGAGTTACTCAACACGTTGTTCAACCCCAAGATACGTTTACAACCCAAATTTCAGCGTTACAGACGACGAACTTGCAAACACCTCAGAGAATGTGCACTGGAATACTCCCGAAAAGGAGAATAGTGTATCAAAAACTGTGCTAAACAGCAACGATCCCCCCGAGTTCGCCGAGTTTATTCGTACGATTGCCCTTACCGGCGATATTGCTGTAGACGAGGAAATAGTACGGTTTTATCGAACCAAATTTTTTTTCACAACTAACTCCTAAGCAACATATTAGTTATAACAATTAACAATAATAAATATATCACATTTATAGTTTGCAATCCGGGTGATCGATTGAAATTCGATTACCGACCATAACAGCTTTAAGCAGGGTAAGTTCCTTTTTATTTACAACTCCTACTATTTGATTTATCCCGATTGTCTTGTTCGTGGGGACCGTTATCGAGAACAAATTCGTCCCTGGCATCTTGACGGTAGTTTTGTGTTTATATTTGTTAAAACCTAAAGCAATTTTTAGTAAAGTTCCACGCCGATTGTAGTCCTACTTACCTTTGTACTCATAAACCTGTAGCAGCTTATTGTCCTCGAGGAATAGAAGTAAGGTTTCACCGTTGTTCCTTGGTTCTAGTGAGAGAAGGGATGACGGTTTGTAAGCTGGTAGGTTTTGGAATAGCTTCCCTGTGGCGAGATCTTCGTATATCTGAAAATGTTAATTGCGCGAATGCAACAAAGTCACACAAGTAGTCTACCTAAAGTAATAGGTAAAAAAAGTTACTGTGAAAAATAATAGAAAAGAATCGACTCCCTATTTTGAAGTATAAGCAGTAAGTGAACTCAGTTTATGGTTGATGTAAGAAATTTTGATTCAGTGCACACTTCCCCTAATGAATTCTTATGGTGTTTTCTTACGAAAACTACAATCGCGCGCATTTGATTAAACGCAGTGTCGTAAAATCGTGAATTTCACTGGATTCTAAATTTATAGACAGTATAAAGTAAACCAGCATCAGATTTCACATTTACTCGTAGTTAAGTAATCTTCGTGATCAAATTAGTTTTCTATTGGATTGCGTAAATCGTGTAATCTTTTGAAAATTTCAGAGAAAAATATTAATGAATTTGTTCTAATTCAACTCTGCCCACGCTTTAGCATTTCATTTTAAAATAATCGTATGATTGGTTCCTGTTTTCAATACCTCCCCGCTGCGAATCCTTTTGGAACTGTTTCTCGGATATCCCAGGACGCTTATTAGAAAGAATCAGGCGAAATAAAAATTAAAAAAGTATGTACTTATAAATTGTGCACAACTCTTGAGCAGATAAAGCGCATTCTTTAACAGTAATAGCTTTTGTTTTGACATCACCAATGGATATATTTCTTGTAGACCTCTCAATCGCCTTTTGTGAGTAGCCTCTTCCTACAATCCGTTGTTGAGATATAAGCAAATATACCCGATCACGATAAGAGGTCGAGGAGGAGGGCTGTGGTTGGTAGAAATTAATTCCTTTCGTTGAGACCTTTCATTAGAGTACCATGAAGGATAAAACTAGTTCCACTCCCCCCCCCCCCCCATTAACCCGTAGTTTGAAAAGAGGGCAGAAAAAAGGGCAGTAGTTGTTAGAAAACGGTTCCTTTCGTTCAGACCTTTAATTACAATACAATGAGAGATTATTAATTATTATTAATTTATTATTAATTTTTTAACCCCCCCCCCCCCCTCAGGCTCCGTCGCTCACTGATAGTTTGTACAAACCAATTTATTTCGTAGAACACGTGTTGTTTACCCCCCCCTCCCCCATTTTAAAGTTTCACTTGGGACCACTAAAGGCATGTGTATGCAAAATCTGAAACCAATTGGTTGTCGTATGTAAAAGTATGCACGTTTTACTTTCAAAAACAGCATCTCAGGAAATAATTCGTGGGGGGGGAGGGCCTTTTAGACAGCCAAATTTGATGGCCGCCTGGAACACCTTCAAGGTATAGGCTACCTACTGAAAAAATTCCAGGACTCTGGGACCATTCCCCTAGAAGTAGTTCGAAATCGCAGAAGTGGACGGACGGAAAAAACGCAAACAATTCCAAACTTTAAAATGGGGGGGGGGGGAGGTAAACAACACATGTTCTACCCTTCATGGTATTCTAATGAAAGGTCTCATCGAAATAAATTGGTTTGTACAAACTATAACTTTCCCGTGCGACCCTTTTTTCGAGATCAGCGAGCAACGGGGTGGAGGGGGAATTAATTTTATCTCTCATTGTATTTTAATTAAAGGTCTCAACGAAAGGAACAGTTAAACTACTGCCCTTCTTTCGGTCCTCTTATCAAAGTACAAGGTGGAGGGGGAGGGAGGGGGGAGTAGAACTAGTTTTATTGCGATTGAGATGTCTGCAAGAAATATATCCATTGGTGATGTCAAAACAAAAGCTATTTCGGTTTTAAAAAATGCGCCTTGTCTGCACAAGAGTTGTGCACAATTTATACTTGTTTTTAATTCTTAAAAAATGCGCTAAAAATAAGAAGACCTTTCCTGTACACCTTCTTAGAAATAACTAATAACTCTTATAAAGTAAACAGTAAAGTATACCGACGGACACACGGATGGATACTTGACAGTATAAGGATTTCCGGGATTGTTTATCGCGCCAAAGAACAAATCCAAACTAAAATCCCTCCCACCTTTCGTAAGTACTGTATTTATTTATTTATAATCCCTCTTGTTCTAGGCCCTCAACAGGCTTGCGCCCAATTACAGAGTGATCCGCATAATGCTTTTTAGAAGTGCCACCCGGCCTCCGGTTTTGTAGCCCAACGCTCTACCACTGAGCTACAAAGCCGATTAGGTTGCATCCCTCTCCCCCACTTTCATTTCCATAAATGAGCGATAAACGATGCATTTATTTTGAATTTGGGGGGCCAGAAGGAGAGCAAAATAATCCCATCGTGATAAAAAAAGTGTCGAATCTCGTCATTTTTTTCAGAAGGGTTCTGTGAGCTTACCTTGATGAAGTCAAATGCCTCTTTCACGCTGGTTTGATTGTTTGTACCGACTGCAACAACACTTTTCCTATGGTTGCCAATACCGACGTTCATGGTTATAATATCTCCATCACCAGCAGGCGGAATTAAACCATTATACTCTTCTATAATATTCCCTCTAAGAAACACATCTGTTTCATATCCATATTCAGTCTCTTCCACGGAATCATGGCGGCTGAGTTTCAGCAACTTCCGCCCATTACTTAAAGATAAACCAAGTCCCGAACCTCTGGGTACAAATCTCCAATTATCTGAAAGCCACGAAGCTAATTTCACACCAAATGGGGTGGGGAACTTACCCTCAGAAATTCTCCATTTCCGGTGGTTTTTTACTTCGGTCGCTCCTTTCGTGTGCAAGTGGTATTCTACAACAAATTCGTCCGACAGTGCGTAGAATGTACCGGATATCAACGAATCTTGCAGCAGTTTATAGTTTTCCAATTTATGCAACAGTACCAACTCCTGATGGTCGAATTTCCAGATATTTGTACCGAAATACCTACAATCCGTTAAAAATGCGCTGCTTTTACTGACCAAGAAAACGTAATCTCCGTCTTTCACGGTTATCATTTGGGAAATCGTTCCCGTTTTGATAATGGAAATTTCAGAAAATTCCGTTTTGAACCATGCGAATAAATGGGAGGTGCAGGAGGATTCTTCGGTGACCAAGAGGTAGTCTTCCGTGCCCGACTAAAACCAGGATAATTGGGAAGTGGTGAAGGAGTTGGCGCATACCTTAAACTGGTGGATGTTTTCGATCTCGGCTTCAAATTTGAAACGTTGCAGGTAGTCGAAGTATTTGAACAGGTATATTTGCGATTCTACTCTCTTCATAACAGCGCTGACGTCTTTACATACATTTTCATAAGTTCCCTACAAGCAGATGTTTGGTCAATCTACTCATCCAACTCATACATACCGTTATTCCATCTTCGGCGTAAACCTTCAAAATGCGCTTTTGCTCAACGGTATCCGCCAATTTCACCACGTCTATTCCCTGCAATAACGCATCGCCAAAGACATTTTCACCAAACACCACGCCATTAGTCGCTGTCCAATTATCTGATATAGTTTGCACGAATACGCCGTCAGTTTTAACACCCCGTTCGTTCCATTCCCTTACATTTACACCGTTAACTTGTCCCCCAACTTCTATATCGTCATTCATGGTAACTTCGCAGTCAAATTCGTAATTTGCCGTTAACCTTTGTTCGGTGTTTGTGGTAACTGCATTACTCAAATTTCTTCCATCGGACAAACCCACAACTTGTAGATTATTTCGCACCAGAACGTTATTGGCGAAGGTGATATCTGAGTAAACTTCGTGTAATCGTTGATCCTAAAATGATTTAAATTAATAATTTGCTACCATTCTTCCGTTCACCAATAAGCGAACTCTAGATACCAGAGAATGTCCACTTTAAATACTCCCCTCCTACGGTGGCCGTTTATTTTTCCAATATTTGTGGGAGCGGCTTCGGATCATATGCACATAAGAGTTTGAGGTGCGGGTCTCCCATAGATAGGACGTATCAATATGGATACAGACTCGACACAAAAGATTTTTATCATGGGATTGTGTTAAGTTAACAGACACGCGCGTTGTAGCGATGGTAAGTGGAATTAAAGTCTTGGGGGGGGGGGGGTCATGATCGGGATACACTTGTTTAAGCAGCGAGTGCATCATTTTAATCTCAGTTATATTAAATATAGTGGAATTGTACGGAGACATAAAATCACGAACTTGATCTGCCAGACGGCTATAACCAACCACGTGACATCCGAGTGGGCGTGGTATTCAGTACTGAAGAATTTGTAGAACGATAAAGGTACCGAGATATACTATCACTAACGTTTTATTTGAATTATCAGTGAAAAAACTGAGCATTAGTTGCTATCATAAAATTTAATTATCCGGCCAATGAGGAAACAGCAGAGCATGTTCTCTGCACGTGCTATGCTGTCAACGAACAAAACAAACTACCTTCGGTAAAGCCACTCTAACGCCTACCACAATTGGGGAGAAATGCCTTAAGACTGTCATTAGTTTCTTTAATGATCTCAAGCTGCTCTAGAAATAAGTAAGGCCGTTGGAGTAATTGGAGATGCCACATAACCTCACATACCACATACTATGAATAACTTACCATGAAAATTGAGTTATAGTATTCGTCGGGTAATACATAACCGTTCACACGATTTTGCACGGAAATGTTATGAAGGGGGGATATTTCCAAGAATTCCAAACTTTGGTTGACATGCTGATCTGTACGTAACGGTACCAGCGCGTTGAGATCAATGTCGTTGATAAAGTTTAGGTAAACTTCTCCCTGCATTGTAACGTACTCGAACGTGAGCTTGCCTGGTATTATACCACGGTTTGTCAAAACAGCATTTTCCTTCCAACTGTCTAAATCAACCCCACTCAAGTACTTGGTCTCCAAGTTATCCATCATCAATTCGCTTTCAGCATAAACCGGCTGTATGAATGTTACGTCACCGCCAATAATACTATCTTTAGTTATAACCGCAACGTCTTCTACGAACTCAGAAAAGTCTACGTTGTTAATGTTACCCCGCACGTTTAAGTTTTGCTTGACATGAACCTAAGATAGAAAAAAGTAATCACGTCACAACTTTTCATAGTGACAAACCTTATTTAGAAACGTTACGTTGTTTGGTATTTTTCTGCTTTGGGTTTTGTATACGACATCTTGGAGAAACTCTTCTAAATTCAGGTCGTTCACGTAACCCTCGACTATCAGGTTATTTATATATGGAACACGTTGGAACATCAAGTCATCTGAAAAGAAACAGAATGTATGACTTTGAAAGTGTTGTGAACATCCATGATTTTATAAACGGATAAATAGTTTCGGAATGCCCTCGTATGCATTCCAAAGCTTTTGGTAATGTACCAATGATGTAATAGATTTCTTTCAAGATTCAGAAGTAAACCAGATATTTCGTGTAGCATGATCATTTTATTTTACTGCTGCGTATGATAGGGGCTACACTCTACAGTGTGTCAAAACAATGGAGGGAGTACTATAAGTTCCAGAATTTTCGCAGTATGAGGGAACTAATGGCTTTATCTAGGCTTTTAGATACCGATCAACTTCAATGTGATCCTATGAAAGTTAACTAGTTTTTTGTACTCCGTGGACTAAATCAATGTGTTTTGTTTTCCATTTAAGGGACTGAAGCGAGGACTATAGTGTCATTTTGTCTCCGAAGAATCCTAACCAGATTAGTATCTCCTCGACTACAACAACAACAATGGCAACTTGGTGCACCATGCGTGGCATCGGATCAACGTGGCGACGTATTTCGAATCGACGATGAATGAAATAGTTCACTCTATCGCCCGCCATTCCCCCAAGGAGCCGGAACATACAGGGTGGCCCACTAAAAACAGTCAATGCCAATTTTGCCCACAGTTTTGCCAGAAACGCTCGAACACGTCAATTTTAGTTTTGAGGGGGACACCTAAATTAAGTAATACTACTTACATAACTTTAACCCTGAGGAGGTGAATTGCACCCCAAAAATTTGAAATGGGAAGGGGCCGTAAATGTTAGATAGGTCGAAAGGAATATTCATTATGTTTTCAGAACTGTTTTTATTTTTCAAACCCGATCAGTAGGCGTTGAAGTTGAAATAATTGAGAGCTTGTGTCAGAAAAGAACATCTGAGATAAGTGCAATAAGCGCACAAACAATGCAGCGAATTTGTGATTAACTTGTTTAATTTTGTAGTAAATTCAAAAGCAATGACGGTTTACACTATAGCGCAAAGGGTGGAAATTGTTTCGATTTTTTTTTAAATTGGCGATTCTGCCTTCACAAATTCGCTTCCTTGCTTGCGCTTGTGTCAGATGTTCTTTTCTGACACAAGCTCTCAATTATTTCAACTTCAACGCCTACTACTTTTAAAACAGCTCTGCAAATCCATTTGTATCGAGTTTTCTCTGGAACTACTGATCGGATTTGAAAAATAAAAACAGTTCTGAAAACATAATGAACATTCCTTTCGACCTATCTAACATTTAGTACCCCTTCCCATTTAAAATTTTTGGTGTGCAATTCACCCCCTTCTCAGGAAAAAGTAAGGCAGCGGTACAGAAACAGCGATTCCCCAAAGAGTTTAATTACCAAGCCTTATAGAGAGGGTGAGACGAAGCAAACCAGAACTATAGGGAAACGAGAGCTCCACTGATCCAGCATAAGCGGCAGGAGCAGGCCAACGCTATCGCATTTCAGGACTATGTTACGATAGGGTAAACGCCGGATTTAAGAAACCCGAAAAAATAGTGGAGGAGGAGCAACAGGTGAGTGAACACTAGAAGGGAAAAAAATAAGAAGAGAAGCTTGTAAGGTAACTGATGAAGTATTTAAAAATTGCGGCTATCCCCTGGCTATGGTGTCGGTAAGACCAAGATTTCTTAAATTGAGTTTTCTGGAAAACTGCGAAGTTCTCATAGATAGATGTTTATTTCTAAAAAAGATTTCAAAAGATAATTGATTTTAAGGTTTCACTGTTATGATGTTAGCAATGACATCTGCGATCGAATGTGGAGTATGAATTTAGATTTGCCGGTTTCTTCGAAGGGCGTCTTTTAAGGCCAATTCTCATACGTTCCGTTACCGCGTCGCGTCTCTACGCTAATGTGATCGCCAAGTGAGAATCAGCCTTTACTATTATTATTACTAGTATTGTTCGGTCAGAACGTTTAACGATCTCAAAGTCGGTGTAAACTGTAAAGAGTTGGATTATCATCAGGCCGTGGTAAAAATGCAATAGAATATAACTACGTTCCGATAGGGATTTCTACATTTTTTCGATTTGGTGTGTGTGCGACTGGTTCCTGAATACGGTCCTGACTTTTTAAATTCGTGCAGAAGCTAGCGGCGCCAGTAAATCGTGGGATTTAAGCGTTTAGTTCAGATTACAAGAAGATTTTGTTTATTTTGCTGTCGTGGTTATCGAGCTTGCTGTGTAACGTGGGTTTTTGCCAACTTTGCGGAAAATTGGTACACGCGGAGTAGGGTTATGTGCGTCAAGAAATGGCGGAGACGGTATAATAAGTTACGGAATTGGCGTGAATCATAAAAAGTAAAATGGTAGGAATTAGGCTGTTAGCAGAGAGCCGTGAGTCAATACGCGTTAAGCTTAAGCCACGATAGCGTTTGCGTCGAGCGGTTAAAAAAGTTACAACCTGTAAGTTAGCGCAAGGTGGATTTTAGTCTGCGTAAAGAATTCAAATTAAACCTCCGGGTAATTGGTGTCAAGCCGCGAGAAAAAAATTCAAACAGTACGTGTAAAGTACTTGAAACGCGGTATGGAAATCGACGATCGTTAAATTTACACGACCCTCGTAAGTATTTTTAATTAAAATAGTTAAAATAGTAAGCTTGTTTAAGAGTATCATATGGCAATAAATGTGATTCACCATTTATAACGCAAGTGTTATTTTCCGAATGGTAAACGTCCCGTAAATAAGACAGTGGAACACCATTGAGCCCCTCGTCCACCACAGTATCATAATTAACAATTACGTTTCCAGTAATAGTAACCGGTCCCTTTACTGCCTGTTCTCCGGTTTTCATCAAAATGTTATCCACGTGAATGCCATTCAAATATTCCGAATTGAGCATCCTTGTGACGCGAAAACCGTTTACGAAATTCTTAAAACCGGTAATGACCGGATTTTTTTCATCTTTGTAGATCACATTATCGGTGAACAGTTTAAAGGGCACTCCATTGAAGTGCTTTAAATTGAAATGATTGACGAAGAGGTCCCCCTAAAAGAAGGAAGGTAAGTTTCGCGCAACCAAGTAACAGCCTTACAGCGAAAGTGACTTCGGTGAAATTGTTGTTTTTGTCGGTCCAAACGGGCGATTTGACAAGCTCAGTAACGTCTTCTCCGTTAATAACTTGTTCCACTGACAAGTTTCCGATCACGTTGATATCTGCAAATAAAAAATGACTGCGAGTAGTTGAAAGCTGGAGTTACTTTTCACAAACAGGTCGCCGGCAACGAATTTATCCGATATCAGATCTAAGTAGTAGTCACGGTCGAAGAGTTTCTCAAATAATTCCCCATTAACCCATTTGGCAATTAGGTTCTCCGCGTGGAGACGCCCCGCTGTGTATTTAGCAGAGATTGTTTGTTGTCTTGTCGCGCTTAAGCGTCTTTTGTCAAATTCCTCAAGAGAGAAGTTGTCTATTGATCCCGCCAGGCTCCCTTCCACAATAACATTGCGCGCCTGTATTTTGGAAAAGTCTATCAAATTAATTTCCATATCTCTTTCACTTCCATCGGTGTCGTAAAAGTAATTGGCAACGGGAAATTCATTCAACGTGCCTGATATTTCCATCTTGGTCGCTGTCAAATCAACCATTCGACCATCATTTTCGAATACAAGAGTGGCCGGCAAAAACTGATCACCGCTAAGCTTCACTGTTTCTAGGTCCAGTTTCGTAATATTGATGCCTGAGTATAACCCCTGCACTAGGAGATTCTGGAAGACTACGGCACCATTCAATGTCTGCATTAAAATTGTTTGCTCAGTGTTCGTGGTGATGATGGAAGAAAGTGGGATGCCACCAACACGCTCTGACGTCGATATGATACCATTGCTAACGGAAAGCCCCTTCGTAAAGTTTTTAACTGAGGTAACATGTGCGTAACTATCAGTCTGAAAGTTACAGCTAAGTCACTTGATCAAAAATGATCATACTAACCAGATAAATGACATCCTGGAGAAGATCTTGCAGGTTCTTATTATTGTAGTTCTCCGATACAATAACACTGCCCTCTACAATTAGGGATCTAAAATTGGCTCTCGCGCTAATCCTGTTAGTCTCCAACAGACCAGGATTGGGCAAGAATTTTTCCATAAATGATCCTGTTATGTTAACCTCATCCTTTACATTAATAACCTCCGTAACTTCAAGATCAGTGAAAAGGAAGTTTCCCGGTAACGACTGACTAGTGGAAAGCGTTACAATGTTGTCTGGTCTGATTCCATTAAGACTACCCTCAATGATGAGCTGTTCCACGTGCAACGGACTCAAGAAGTTTTTTTGGCCTAAGCAGAACAGAAAAGGTAAGTTACTTCAACGTCCACTTCCAACCTGTAATTGTGCTAAATTCGGAGTTTGTGAATAGGTGGTCCTCCGGGAACTTGACTCCATTCAAGTACTGGGCGTCGATTGCTCCAGTAATGATTACATTCTAAAAGAAGAAATACACAACGATTCGACGTGCAAGTCTACGTACATCAGCCATAAACGTCTCCCCAGGAATGTAACTGTCGACATCTCTTAAACGGAGAGACTTTTTGAACAATTCGAAATTCTCCCCGTTGACATTTTCAACGGTAATATCTCCAAGCATTTCAACCGAATCCAAATCTAAGGTTTCCACTTTTGAACCGACGTCCCCGACGATCTCTGCGAAACTTTTTTGAATCCGAAAACTATTCGCCTGGGAAGTGTTCAATTTTTTTGTTACGATTACGTGTTCAAACTCGAAAGTATCTGGAAAATAACCGTTATCGTGATTCATGTGAGTATTATTACCGTTGTATGTCCTTTTCATTTCGACCACTTCGTTCATTAGGCGAATGTCGTTTACGTTTCCGTGTGTGGTCGTAACATCGCCAAATACCTCCACCTGATTTTCAAATACCAATCGCCCATTTAATCTTAGAGGCTGATCGGTCTTGTACAACAAATCTTCGGAATTAATTCCGTTAGCCACTCTAAACGTGAGGCTGCCAATGTTGGCACTATTGATAGTTTTATGACCTGAGATTATATTCGCCGCATTCTTTCTGTGAACAAGTGAGCTGAAAAAGATGAGATAGTGGAGGTAACTTACTGCACTGTGTCACGCAGTACTTCCTCAACACTTTCATCATTAATTAGATCAGTATTGATGTTTTGAAATGAGATGGAGCCCAAAGCTTGCAAATCCCCGTACACGTTCAATAATCCAAAGCGCCTTTCTGCCTCATTATCAGCTGCAATTTTTCCAAATTCGGCTTTTGTTTCGCTTAGATTTTTTTCAAAATCATCAGTTAGATGTTTTAGGTCACCGACGTGAACTACTTGATCATCTGGAAGCGGTACAATAACTGTGGTCACCTCCTCTTGATACACCGGCAAAATGGTGACACGATCTACATCGTCTTCACGAGGGGTCGTTTCTAAACGTTTTTGAATCGATTCAATTTGGGCTTTTTGTTCCGATATCATTTTCTGAAAACGGAATAAAGTTATTCTCAGTGTACCTTGAGCATCCAAGATGTTTGGCAATTTAGTTGTTAATCACAGATGTAAGTAAAACAGATTGTAGAATATACGAGTGTGAATTTAAAATTGTACAAAAAAGATCTAAATGCAACATACAATTAATTACGTGATTTATTTATTTACAATTTATTAATAATGAAGTCCGTAAATTACTATCTACGACTCACTTGTACGCAATTTATAACATGTAAACACGAGCGCGATTATTTATCAGTGGAGCGTCGATGTTGGAACTGTCTATTAAACACAATTCGATTTGCTTATATACCAAATGGAAAGTTTTTAAGAAAGATCACGAACATTCTCGATACGTGCGGGTTAAACAAGGTATACGACAATGTAAGGTGGCAAGTGGGGATTTTATTTGCTTATGTCGATATATAATCTCAGAATTTCGTCATGTTAATTTTTAAACTGTGTTTCTACTATTATACCAGTTCAACTCTTACTTTTGGTGCGATAATATTACTCATACTAGGGGAAGGTCAACTTTTTCGCAACTATAGCATTACAGGCAGAGATTTGGAATGTCAAAGAATGATATAACGATAGCCCTTAATTTGGATGTTCTTATTAGAATTTCCAGTATACAGACCGATTGAAATATAGGCTTGCTTTCAAAATTTGAGTTCTGGAAGCCTCGGCGTTATGATATTGGCGTAACAAGCGCCTAAATTGTTTATCTTAATTGGTTTTATCTGGCCCAAACCGCAGTGGATTAGATCCTCGTCCGTATTATAAGGTGCAATTCAGCAGAATTCCAGTGCCTGGGTTTCTTGAGCAACAACTGAATTCTCGTACACTTCGGGAGAGTACAGAGAAATATGAAATGGAAATATTGTTCTGTAAACTACGCCATGTGGACGTTTTATTTAGCTTCAGCACCTACAGTAATGTTGGGTCACACTGTATGTGTTTCATTTCATTTATTTTTGACGTTAACGTAAGTTCATAGCACTCCGTTCATACGTTTCCGTTTGTCCGTTAGCCAATCAGAAGACAGCAAATTTTTAAATCGTGCGTCATCCGTTTACGACGGAAAAGTTGGTTGAAGTTGAACATTTACGTTTCCGTTGGTCCGTTTTTAACAAGAGTGAGGTTATATTTGGTATGTTAACAGCGTTCGCCTATTCGTTCTTCACAGTAATAATCAGATAGCAATGTGTTCTTACTTTCGTACCATTTTCACATACTGAAAATCACGGAGGGTACAGTACAAAATAAAGTTTAGGTTATGGTTATACTTGCAAATGTACAATGTGGACGGATTGCTATGAACCTTAACAAAATGTACTATCCGTTTGACGGATCAACGCAACGGATGAACGGAGAGCTATGAACCCACCTTTAAATGTTGGTTGTCGATTTAGAATGAACACAATTTCGATAACATTCGAATGTGAGGTGAATGTATTTTGTATCAGTTTTAATTGATGTTGATTTTGTTTAATGAATTAATTTGTTTATTTTGTTTACTTTATTGTAAAGAGAGAAAAGATACGGTTCATCTGTTATTAGGTAATTGCATTGTGTTGTTTTAAAATTTATCTCCGGTCATTACGATAAACTTTTTTTAATGCTACGTAAAGCTAATTAAGTTTAAAGGTAAGGGGGTTTCGCCGTTCAGACAACGCATGTGTTTAATTTCGTTCGACGACGCATGAATTTTGATAAAGAAGTTGCGACCGATGTTGTAGAAGCGAATAGTGGTTAAATGGAAGAGACGGGCGTGAAACGAAACTTTTTATGTTAGTGGAGGTTTTTGTTGTTTGGCAGTAATTAAGTGTTTTATTTGCAAGACAGTCTTACACAAGGGGGCCGCGTCCCCTTTAAGAATGAGTAGATAAATCACTCAAAAGCAGCTAACACATCTTATACTGCATGTGCATGCAGAAATTACAAGTGTAGAAGTATAGGATATATTGAAGGAATTTTTGCGGAAAAGCGGAAAATTTTTGGATATATTTAATTTTTTATACTTGCTTTTCTTTACAATGCTCAATAGAGCAATGAATATTTTTGTAACTTTTGTATGTTCTAGTTCTTCATTTTTTTTAAATAAAATATTAATGATCTATGCCTATGGTTTTCTCAAGTCAAGTATCTCTGAGTTGCTCAGTTGCATATAACTCGATATCCTCCGACATTTTTTAAAAATTTTTTCAAAACTTTTCTTTCAAAAATAGATTATTTGATTGATTAAATAAACAGGATTCAGGGTCACTTAAAAAACCCACTGCTCTGCATTAATTCGTACACATTGTTCACGAGAGGGACCTTTCAGACTCCATGGTCGCTGATTTTTGCCCCCCCCCCCCCAACCGTTATTCACTTCCGACTTCGCTGGTTTAAATCGAGTTTAAGCGGAGTTCACGTTTACGAAAAAGTTAGTCGGAGTATTGTGTTTATCGCACATTTAAGATAATTAAGATTAATTTGTTCAATCAATCGCATGTGCTTTGTATTTGTCTGCTAGCCCTGAACGCCACTGTTTATTTCAGCTTTATTATTGATTGATTTACGTTCAATTAATTTGGTTCAACTGTAATTGATTAGCTTTGTGTTTAAACGATTAGGAGGGATGTAAATGTTCTTTTTCATGAATACAGAATACTACCCAAGCATTCTTCAAAAATCACTGACTGATATTTTGACCAACATGAATCATATTTCTTACTCTTTAAACCCCGACCACCTAGGGCGCCCAAAATTGACTTTTAATATTCAATAGGTATAGAGGATTTACTGTGTGAATTTTCATGACTTTTGAAATGACAACCTCAAAATTGATCACTGGCTCTTTGTGTATATTCTATATAAGGTACAATTCGCAACTCGAAATAAATTGACAAGTTCTCGATATTATCACAGCCAACTATGACGCTATTCATAAAGTATGTAACAAGCGCGGTTAGAAATGTAAGTTTATTTCAGATCTAAATAGAGTAAGTTAATTATGCTGCAGTACGTGTGTATATTCAAAATGAGGATAAATGAAGGTCATTGTAATTAAAGTAAGAGCAAGGAGAGTCGAGTTAAGTTGCGTCTATCCCAACCGAATGTTGAGGACCTATAAATATGAGTGTAAATAGTGGGAATTTTTTCGCGGTGTCGAACCTATGTTAAACCTACCTGAAGCTGTTGTCTAGTTTCAATCAGTTTCTCAACTTCTAATTCTACAGGACCTTTACGTTGCTTCAAGACCGTTTCGACCATAAACATGATAGTTTTACTCTTATGCGGCACTAAAATACCTAAAACGTCTTTCAAGGAAACAACTGCCGCCCCTAACAATCCATTGAATCCATCCTCGTCGACCATACAATCCAGCCCGTGCGCCGCCTCGCCAAAAAATGAGCAGGGGATCTCTTCGTGCATATTAAAATTATGTCCGTCGTACAGAACGGCCTCTAAAGAATGAGATTTGTACGTGTCATGGTCAACGGTGCGTTGCAAAATTAACGCAACTTCGTCCCTGTAGGTCTTCACGGGAACGGGCAGCCAAAATTCGACATTGGTCAAATGGATACCATTCACGTTTTCTAACTCGATATTATCCTTAACAAACTTATAAATGGAGGGCGTGTCGCCGTTAATCGCCAAAAAGGATTTGAAACCGATTTTAAAGGAGGCCACCTGATTTACATTGTTACTACTGATAGCAATCCAAAACTCAAAATGGTCCTTTATTAGTTTGTACACCAGAACTTCGTTCTGCTTTTGTTGTGGTATGGAGAGATACATATCCGAACCATAAGAATTAATGGCCGAACTGTTTGCGGGAGACGAAAGTTGTAGCGTTTGCGAAAGCCTGAAAGGGGAGTAAAACGCATATGGCGGACAAATGCGAGGATAATTACCAAAACTGGGGGGACGTCAGGGAGTTCACGCTGAATTCGTACACATCTGCTGTATCGTTGAGGATTAGAAGTCTACATTTGTCGCTTTCCAGCTGAAAAAATTGCATATGCGAGATCTTTTTCTGAAGTGGCCACGTCCAGAAGTGTTCCTGTAATTAATCACTTAGTGAGTGAATAAGTGCCCTTAAACGTAGGTACCAGATCGAGGTCGTTAAGTTTGTACCACCTCAATTCCGCGGTGTTGTCATTGATAATGGCCGAAATGAGTATAATCTCTAATTTGCGTGTTTCAGTGTTCCAATGTTGGAACATTTCTACTGCAGTAACCTTCCAAGGGAATTCTAAAACGCACCCTGATTCAAAACGTTTCAAATTCACCCACGCACTTACCCGCCACTTTCTGTCGTGCAACAAACGATTTGCCATCTTGTGATAATTCCACATTTAATAATACCATGGCATTATCCAACAAACCAGCACCGAACACTTTTCCGTTACCTGCCAAGGTTCTCCATGCCAAAACGGTACCATCGGCGGCAAAGCTATTATCAGTTGTAACTTTTGTTATGACCAATTCTACAAGGGAGATTGGAAATTGTCCGTAAATTAAGCAAAAATGTCACCTTCTCGGTTGGCGTATCCAGACTCGAACTGATAAGAGTGCCATATCTGTTCCGCAGAACAGAAGTTTAATAAAATGCAGCAAATTACGAACAAACCATCGATCGCCATTACTATTCACAAAGTGTGGTTTATTATCGCAATAGAGATAAGTGCCCATAATACCAAACTTGCACTTATTCAAATAAATTCCACTTTCTTTACTTTATTTACCACAAAATAAATATTTATATTTACATAATACTCTTAAATTTCTAAGGTCTCGCGCGTTATTAAATATGTACAATGCGTAAACGAAGGAAATTAAGGAACGGATACGGAAATGAACTGCCGTGGATCGCCAACTTTCGGTTGAAACCTTAAATTCACTCTTTTCCCTTTTTGATCATCAATATCGAAGAATGAATTCCAATCGAGTAGATAGTAGAAGCCGGTTTTCGGTGCTTCTGTGGGAGGCGGCACCGTGACCTCAGCTTCAATGGCGGCGCTGCCACCAAAAGAATCCTCCAAGTCCTTGATGTTAACGGTTTCGGTTTCTTGATTACTGGTCGCCGCGCTCGTAGCTTCAGTCGAAGTAGAGTTTTCTTGACGTTTAACTTCATTCTTACTCAACCCAATGTCGTAGTTAATCGGATTTAAGTCGTCGTCATCTGCGCCAAGAACCCCAGAGTCGTTTTTTTGCAAACTTCCCACGAGTTCCTTCAGCTGGTCCATGTCCAATTTGTTCAAGTCTGCCTCACTGGCTGTACCGTTCAGTTTTTCTAACTGCTTAATAAGTTCCATGAGTTGGTTTAGCTTGTCGAGCTCTTCTTGCGTGGCGTACGTGCTCTCAATTGGATTGAAAACGTGAGTTTGTGGGGGCGAAACGTGGTGCTCAAAATCCTTTCCCTCTCGATTCCACAAACCCAAATTCTTCACTACGTCTTGCAATGTATCCGGAACTATCTCGAAGTCGACACCCGGTATCTCCGAAAGTGTGTCTTGAGGGGTGTGAATTTTTCTATTCTTGCGGCCGCTCTGTGCACTTTTTCCAAGCCCGAAACGTCCCAGAAACTCTTCCATTTCCTCGTCTACTCCACTAATTTCTGGTAGCGGTTTAAACTTAATGTAGGAGTCGGGTCGTACTTCCGCCGTGGTTCGTCCAAGATACGGTTCCTCCTTTACTTTAGGCGATTGATGATTGAAATCTGCTAATAACCCAAAGTTCATTAATAATTCTTTCATTTCCGGCGTTAAGGTGTTAGCAACGTTAGAAATGTCAGGTACGGCGGGTGGAGCGGGCGAAAATGTGTCAATGATTCCATAATTCTCCTCAATGCGATCATTGGGATTCGGTAAGTTAAAGAAATCGTACTTTAGAGGATTTTTCTTAAGGGAATCCCCTATGTTTAGTTCATCTAAAGTTGATTTCAATTCGTCAGGTAAATTAACTTCCAATAATGGCGGTCTTGGTGTTGTGAAACGATGAGGTTTGGATGGTTTCGGATCGGAAACAGTTTGATGAGTAAACCTTACGGGTTTCTGAGTTGTGAAATGATCTGAGGTTAATGGTGATAATGAGTTGTTAGATTGCAATTCGTCAGGGTATTTGTGATTAGGATAACGGGGCGATTGTTGTACCGGTCGTCGTCTTACACTGTTTTCGGCGGATGAAGCTGGTTTCTGCGTGGTGCTTCCACGTCGATACTTCATCCTTTCCGTAGTTAATTCGTGTAGTATTTGTTTTACTGTAGCTGCGGTCACTTGTCTGTGACTACCTTTTTGTATATTTGTCATTAGTGATGAACGATTTGATAGGTTAGGAGTGGTGTTAAGTATTACAGCGATGGTTGAGGTTGTCTCACCTGATGAGCTAGTCTTAACTTTCGGGGTAGCAGTAGTCGACTGCACGCCTCTCTGTTTGACTTGCACTTTTTCCCTGCTCGTGGGTCTCGCGTTTCCAGGTTTTGAGTCGTTGACAATTTGTGTAACCGGCGCTTTAGTATATAACTCCTGCATTTTGCCGTCATCGTCACGATTTGGCGTGTACGGCATGACTAACATAACAGATTTTTGATCGCGTTGTTTCGATTTCTCCCTTTGAGCCGCGGCCAAATCGGATTTGGTGAGTTTTTCGATAATTTCCAAAATTTCGCCTCTGGTTAATCTGGGAAGTGACGAATTTGCTTTCAAAATCTCTTGCACTTGGCGCACAGTTTTATCGACATAGTCCAACGAATTTTCCAACGCACTCGCATTATTTATAACAGATTTTTGATGTGCATAATTTAATCCATTTATTTCGTAAGGATTCGACGTGCCCACACGTGGTAACTTTATATTTTCGTTCATCGGAAGACTAAGCACCTGGTAAACTGCTATCGCCGCCAAAACGGTACACAGCGCATTCGCCTGGAAATAAAAAAAAACCGGTAACATCTAGGTCTAGGTCACAAGTAAATTAAAATGTAAGAGCGGTATGTAAGGATTACAATTCCTCAAAGTTGTAGACAGTGACATGCACTTGAGAATAGTTTTACAGTGACTTTCACAATAACTATGTAATCTACGTAAATTCGGTTTCTCTTTCACTTCTTGTTATTGAAAAGGAAAATTAGCAATTTAAATTAATACCTACTCGTACATAACTTTGTTACGGTACTGTGCAAGATATTGAGCGACTCTAAGCTTCAAATTTGCACAGCCTCACCCATCAGAGTACCACATCGGTTTAAGACTGTTAGTTCTAGTTACGAAACGGTAATCCTAAACAGTTTCAATACATTCCGAAACATTTCTGAAAAGCGTATCACTCATGATTTTAACGTTTTCAGACAACGATCTGATTCCCAAAAATATCCTCCTCCAAATACAATGCAATTTGGAACTGCTGGAAATGATCAAAATAGCATAGTTGGATGGCATTGTTTTATAGCTTCCCTGGTAGCTTCTTATCGACGGTTCCTCAATCTTCAAGACTATTATCTTGATTGCTGTGACAAATAATAAAGGCTAGTCTTCAGGGGGAGTTAGTGAAGGATCTGAGGGATTTAGCATCTTTGAACAACCAACACTGTTAAATGAACAATCAGGTGAACTAAAAATCCATAAATCTATAGTAGGGAACAATCACTGACAGTTACACCCAATAAAAGTCCCACAAAGGTCCTAATGGCAACTATAATACAGAATGTGAAATCTAAGCAATGATTTATATCTCCCCCTTAGGATTGCGCTAATTACACATTTTACGTGCCCTTTTTAATCTAGACTTCATCCTTTATCATCATAGAATAAACATTTTTACGGAGAACAAGCCGATTTTCTGTATTAAGCGTCAAATTAAGGACATCATCAATCTTTTAAGCAAGTTGCTACAAATAGTGAAAAAGGCGGAGTAACTTTTTTGTAGGTAGCAGAAAATTGAAAAAAATGACAAAACTTCGTAACTGTTGGCTACCAAGTCTAAAGTTCCAGCCAACATTCCGAAACCTACGCGGAGTGCAACGCAATTTGGTACCTGAGAATCGTTCACGTTTTTTCCCGTTCAGGAAGTTCTTTCGGTGTACACCTTAACGCCTTCAAAGAAACATGTGTTCTAAATGTCAAGTCTCTTTGCAACTGCAAAACATAAAATCTTGTTTTTTTCTGGTTCCCGTTCCCGTGGGAATTTTGTAAAGTGTTTTACTAACTCTGAGGCTTTCGCGGGCATACAGGTACGTCCAACCATTTCCCAGAGTTTTATTGCAATCAGATGAACGGTTTGGACAAGACACTGTACAGCGCTCCCTGCACAAGCGTTTGTGGGGGGGGGGCCTACGCTTTTCAGCGACGCCTGGTTCAGTTTCATACGAGCCCTCGAAGCGGCGGGACGTCCTTTTCAGTGACCCTCCGCGAAGAGCCTCCTCGTGGTGAGGATGGAGAGAACTTTGGAGAAACTATGCGAGAAAATTCAGTCTTTCAGGATGATTAATTGTCGTTCAAGTCGTTCAACGATCATTTCACTCGTGTGCAAGATTCGCTGAACAAATACCGCCCAATGAGCGTTCGTTTGATGTCAGAACAATAAATTTGCCGAAAACTGATGTTTATTGAATTGTTCCAGAAGACTTAGTCATGCGTAAGATTTTCACGAAACTTGTGCCAAAAAGTATTGTCCGACGCTTAAAAGCAGCAGCGCGTGGAAATGTGCAACGAACGAGCTACTTGAACTCCGTAACTTCCTTGACAACGCCAACGTCATCACAGGAGATGGCTGAAACCCCACCCACTCAGAAATAAAGGCATAAATTTAAAAAAATAAAGAAAATAAATAAATGAAAGTGACATATAATAAAATACATCTAATAGAATGTTTACGTGTGAGAAAGTTTATTGAATAGTTTATTTAAAAGTGTAAAATGATTCGAAATGCCGAAAGAGCTCCTACAAATTTAGACAGAATGCATTTAGCCAAAGCCATGCCGTATTCCCCTAGAACTCAGCGGAAAAAAGAAACGAGCCGAAGAAACTTCCGAATCATTGTTCACAGAGGGTAAATATAGGAAAAAAATTTGGGACAATAGCTACAATATAGAAAAATGAACAATCCGAGAAAGTAACTCTTGAATTTGAATAATTTAAATCTGACTTTAATCTAATATAAAATTTGATATGCTCAAAAATAGTGAGCTCAAATAGGTTTAAAAGCAACTCCACTCCTTTCCCATTTGTGAAAAATAATATTCCGAAGTCTCTTAAATAAAGTACATAAAATACTTTGTTAATTAGCGGGACCTTCTTCAATCCAGAAGGTATCTGAAGGTCCAGGCTACGGTAACCTTAGACTGAAGTTATATTTCGAGATGAATGCCGCTAAGTAATTTTAACACTCCAGCATTTACCTTTGCACGGCATCGAAACATCAAAAGAACATGAACAACTGACCAATCTTAAACAAATGAAAATAAGAATAACATTTAAAGTGAAACAAGCAAATAACAAACAAATTCGTGGGTTACCTCCGGCTAGTTACAAGTAGGTGAAGGCAATACATTTCACAATAAAACGAAGAATTACAATTAAAATTAAGTACATTACCTTTTGATATGGTACAAATATTATACAAAACTACAATTAAAGTTCGAACAAAATCAACTGGACTCTGACTAAACGCAGAAAACAAAGTAACACTAAATTTGACAATGGGCCTGTATGAACTTCAAAAAATGCAAAATTAGCAAAGCTAAATCAAGACACTATTTGCTACATATACAGATTAACATTGTTTAAAAATGGTTGATATAATTGCAACACTGTTGTGTTGAAATCAGACATCTCAGAGTGGCTCCACAAATATTTTTGAAGACGGACCCCAAAAATGAAGTTACGCCACTGCCACTCCCCACATTCAAGCTTCATCATTCAATATTGAAGGGTATACTCTTTGCTATAAACCACGTTTCGAACTTCAAAATTCTTTACGGAAGATTGAAAGATCAAAATTCGAGACGGACATTAAGAATTCAAAAAGTTGCATTTCCCCTGTCTCTGTCAATCGTAAAGCACCCCCGATTCTCTAACCATTTTCAGTCGATCGATTTCCAATGCCTGCCGAGATTTCCGGTGACGATATTCACAAACCATAAGCTGGGTTACGTATAACCTACTCACCTCATTAGAAATTTATTCTCTTATATGCCCACCATTTTGGATTTGAGCGATCGCTGGTGTTCAAAGCGATTTTCAACGGTACGGTACTTCCTAGTCTCAAATCGCAACATTGCATTTGTATTTTCACCATTTTTTTTTATTAAAAAAAGGTGGTATTTTTTGTGTATTGTCCGTCCGTCTGTCTGTTCGTTCTGCTTTGAACTACTTTTAGGGCAGTTGTGCTAGAGTACTGGACTTGTTTGCAATAGGTAGCCTATATCTTGAAGGTGTGTCACACAGCTACCCGGGGGGGGGGGGGGGATCTACCAATTACCGCCCTTCTCTACCCCTTATCAAAATAGGGA